TATTTTTCTAATTTTATATTTTTAGAAATTTGATACATTTTTGTTTTAAAATTATAATTTCATATAAATTATTAGTATAACTTGTAGAAATTAGTTATAATTTATAAACCATAAATTTTTTAATATATATTGTGCGCACATTGCAGTTTAATGCATATATTAATTTTTTATGTATATTCTTAGTAACTGCAAAAAGTTAATGACAACTAAAACATTTTTTGAAGAAATAATGAAAAGAATAAGAAATAATTACACGATTTATATTACATTTTATATATATTTATTTTATTAATTTACTTTTATTTCATTAACATTTTTATTAAAATTATATAATTATTTATACTAATATTTATTAAAATAATATATATTATTTTAATAAATATTTATTTTAAATATAATTTTTTAAAAATTGACTGAGGCTGAATTCGCAGTTGTTACGTTAATTTTGGACCCTGACAGCATCTCATGGCGTTTTATTTCGCAGTAGATTACTGAGCAAGATTTGCACATCAGCTCTTCCTAGAGTAGCAGACTTCAGGATTCATTCATTAACCCTAAACGCCCACATCTCTGTCTCTGTGAGCTGAAACAGAAAGAAACAATGCACCAGTACATCCCTCAACCTGACAGCACACTGCCATAAGACACCGATTCATGACAGCAGGAGTGAAATCATCTTCATACAGAAGCATGTCAGTTTGTACATGCCACTTTAACAGCTACAGTTTACGGGAAGAGTTTCAGTGTTATGTAATGTGACTATACCTGCCAAACCTGATGTTGTGTGTTTTTTCCCCTTTGTTGTGGAGTGTGTAGTAATTCAGTCGAGTAGAGAGTATTGTGTTTTAAATAGGACAAAGAAGGCTTCATTTCAAGTTCACTAGGTTAAACACTCACTCTGATATATTCATGCAACCACAACAAAAAAACACACACACATCAAAGCTGAAGGTAACGCTGAGCGCTGCTCTGATTGAGGACTAGGACGCTTTTGTCTTCACCAGTAGAGAAGTCCATACAAACACCTGCGCTCTACCGCTCTCTCTTCCTTGTTTTTGTGAAGCGTGGCTATCATTAGTTGAAGGAAGCTTTCTTTTGGTTTAGGATTTACAGCCATGACCTGGATAAGAGCATGTCACTGCCATTACTGTCTGCGGTCCTGTCAGAATGGAGCAGACTGAATAAAAACACTGCTCTTTTTCTGCATTGTGATGAGAGTTTTAAGGAATAGTTCACTCAAAAATTTAAATCTGTCATTCGTGTTGTTTCTTCATGTTGGAAGAAGATGTTTTCTTAAGTGTTTACTATTTCCCGAACCATGACAATTATACAGTGATTCAACTTTGTGACTCATTCGCTGTATTCACTGTATGCTATGGCTTTAGAACAGTGGTTCCCAACCCTGGTCCTTGAGGCACCCCAACACTGCACGTTTTGCATGCCTCCTTAATCAAACACACCTGATTCAGGTCATCAGCATATTAGTAGAGACGTCAAGACCTGAAATTGGTGTGTCAGCGAAAGGAGACATGCAAAACGTGCAGTGTTGGGGTGCCTCAAGGACCAGGGTTGGGAACCACTGCTTTAGATGACTGAAAATAATATATTCACTCTGTGTGACAGAACAAAGTCCTTATGTGATGAAAATCTAATTCAAAATCACATATATTCAAATACAGTAAGGTCTAATAATAAATATAATATTTTTTAAATTGATAAATGTAAATATTCTTACATTTTAATAAATATATTTTAAATAAATAGTTTAAACTGTTTGAACTTATTAACATTTTATTTAGTCACATATATTAAAATACAGTATGATCTAATAATATATATAATATTAAATAATTTACATCTTTACCCAATTAAATTGGTACATTTAATAAATGTATTATTACATTTGATTATTATTAAATATTCATTTAATTGATTTAAACTATATTTTGACACATACTGTATATTTAAATACAGTAAGACCTAATACTGAATATAATTTTAAATATTTTTAAATTCTACAAAATTCAATATTCCTATATTTAATAAATACGTTTACATTTTTATTTAATATAATTATAATTTATTCTAATTATATTTAGTCATATTCAAATAAAGTATGATCTAATGACAACTATAATATTAAATAATTTTAAATGTTACAAAATTAAATATTTATATATTTAATAAATATATTTAAATTTTAAATTAATATAATTGTCATTTATAACAATTATATGTATTGACTTATTAGCTAAATTTATATTTAATAAATCTGAAAGTACATATTTTATTTAACATTTAATTATTACATTTTTTGAATATGTAATTTTCATTTATTAAATATATTTATATTTAGTCACATATATTCAAATAATAAATAGTACTTATAATTTTAAAGAAATATTTTTAAACCTTATAAATTATATATTCTTAAATTTAATAAATACATTTGTTTGAGTGAACTATTCCTCTTAAATCCAGGCTAGCTATAATAAACACGGACAGGGACCATTAGGCAAGACATAAAGGATTCATTCAACATTTTCATAAGAGTTTGTAATTGTTGCATAACCCGTTAACGGTTAGATCAGCTTCAGTCATAGTGAATGCATTGAAAACAATCCCCCAGATCTTTCATGGTGGTGCTGATAACCATCTTTGCCCACAACCTCAGCCTGACACACTCATTTACGAAACAAAGAATCAACAGTGTTCGCCATTCAATTAGCTGCTCGTCTGCAGCCTGCAAGAGGCATGTCTAGACTGTGTTTTGGCTGCAAACGGATCTCATCAGGTTCTTTTTTTGCCATGCCTCCGACATCAGAGACGTTTCGCTGCAGGTACTCGCAGGTTTAAATTACGATCCCGAGCGCGGGCAGGTGCAAAAAATCAATTGTGAGATAAAAAGTTGAAATTATGAGATAAAAAGTCTAAATTTTGACACTCAATTATGAGATAAAAAAAATCATAATTATGACGTTAGTTGAAATTGTGAGATGAAGTCATTGTGAAATAAAACATTATGACAGAAAATGAAATTGAGATAAAAAGCAGTACTTATGACACTTAAAATTATGAGATAAATCTAAATTACAACAAACTCAATTATGAGATTAAAAAAATCATAATTATGACGCCAGTTGAAATTGTGAGAAAGTCATTATGACAAAAAGCTGAAATTATGAAATAAAAAGTCTAAATTACTACAAACTCAATTATGAGATAAAAAGCCATAATTATAACGTCAGTTGAAATTGTGATATCAAAAAATCATTAACATAAAATGCTTAGATTATGATGTAAAAAGTTGAGAATTATAACAAAAGTCAAAATTATGAGATGATATGGTCATAATTATGAGTCTAAATAATGACAAAAAGTTGAAATTATGAGATTATCTAATAGAATCTCAAAATTTCATAATTATGAATTAGTATCTCAAAATCTGAACTTTTAATGTCATAATTATGATTTACCAAAATGTTGTTGTTTTTTTTGGGCTTAAATGTTTTTCCATGGTTGTGAGACCCACAAGTTAGCATTCTAGATATTATTCTTGATGTAGATTGTTAGAATCCATTTTGGAGTGTCTACACTGCCGTTAATCTCATTAACTAAACAACTTGCATGGTTTGCAATCAGATTTGAGATCATTTGAGTGGGCTTCAGGTTTGTTCCACAGGTCTGCAAAGGTCACAAGTCACTCAATGACAGATAAACACAGGACCTTTCAGGGTTACTCAGGTTACACAAGAACACTGGTGATCTGTGGCAGCCTTTGATGTGCACACAGCTAGCTAGCAAAGTTTGCCAGTATTGTTATTTTTCTTTCTTAAAGGACTGACAGTTTTTTGAAGTGCCAATATGACGAGGAGGCAGTCCTGAAAACTGGCTGACGTGACCATTGATGAAGCAACAAAATTGAGCAGATTAAGTAAAAGCGAGTTTATTATTCTTAGCCCATTGGTAGATATATTTAGATGTATTATATTTATACAGTGAAATATCTTGAACTGTTTGAAGGCCCTTAAAGGTGTAGTTCAGCCAAAAATGAACATTTTGTCGTCATTTACTAAGTGTCAGGAAGGCGGTGTGGTGTTAAACATGCAGTCATGAGGTCTGAAATGAAGTGTTAATGTGTGTGAGTGAGGCCGGCACCGGGTTTGTGGTCCCCGCTGGACCGGAGAGGAAGTAGAGATGCTGTTCTCACTAACATCCACAGCTGTGATGGCTTTAATACAGAGAGAGAACGGCCAACTACAAAAGTTAAGAGAGGATGAGCTTATGTAACCTGGTGTGTGTTCAATTCCTCTGTACTTCCATGCAACTCTAAACATTCGTTTGAAGTGACTCTACCTGTTCTGTCATTCAAACAAGCCATCGCACACGCTTCCTATTTATCCATTGTTTTTTTGATAGCGATCGCTTAAATAAATTGCAGCTCATGTACTTCCAGCTTCTGTGGGTTGCAAGCACACAAATCAAACAGAACCTTCACCTCTTCGCCCACAATGTTGCTTGTGACGGACATCATAAAAAGTCGCCATCAGGTGAACGCTTGGCATTCTTAATCGTGGATGTCATGCGTGCCTGTTTACACATGCAAACAAGCTTATTGTTGGTGCAGCAGGTAAGAATGCGTGGAATCTGAACATGCACAAGCATCTGAATCTCTTGTCACACTGACAGCTCCTCTATCAGACGATCATTAGCCCACCGTCTGTGTTATCTGTTAGGGGTGACATCATGTGACAGCGGTGCTACATTTAGCGCCTTTTGGGTTTTTCACATGGTCTTTTGTGCGTGTCGTGAATGCTAATACAATCCCGAAATATCACATTTTGCCCCAAAATCAAAAGGCAAAAAATAAGAAATTATATTTTGCATAAATATATTTTGCAATGTGATATTATTTCAAGTAGGGCTGGACGATATGACCTAAAATCAAAATCTCGATTAATTGAACATTTTACCTCAATTACTATTAATGAATGATTATTTTGTTTGCTTGTTTTTTTGCCCTCACTGACAAGGTTTGTACTGTAAATATTCTCAACTATTAAAGGTGGGATTTTTTTTTCTAATAATAGAGTGCATTTCTTATCTTTGTGATTTTTTAATAATTGAAGGAAACACAGACTCTTTGAATATTGCGTTTTTTTTCTAATAATAGAGTGCATTTCTTATCTTTGCGATTTTTTAATAATTGAAGGAAACACAGACTCTTTGAATATTGCGAACAATTGGAATCAAAGCAAACATTGCTTGAAATGTCACATTTCAGTTTTAATGTAAAAAGCAAGTTTCCTAAAAAAAAAAAAAAAGTAGGAAATAAATAACTTGCATTTTTTTGCAAACAAAATAATTTTTAAATATTGTCATGTGAAAAGTAAAAAATAACTTGTATCTCTTGTAAATAAAAATTATTTTAAACAATGCAATGTGAAATGTAGAAAATAATAACGTGCATCTCCTGTAAACAAATATTTTAAATAATGCCATATGCAAAATGTAAATAGAACGCCTCTAATGGATCAGCAGGCTGCGTATCGTGTGTGCTCATAGCGTTATAGATGTGAATCTGACTCATGATCGCTGTTGGATGTGATCCTCCTCTCGGTGATCGTGTCCTGTCACTCTACATGCACACGTATTTACTCTAGGTTCTTACTGGCCATTAACACAGAAGGCGTCTTTGCGCCTAAAACGCGAGATGCAGTGCTCAGGAATGTATTAAAAAAAAAAATAGGTACAGTGTAAATGCCTCCAGTTGCCATTTCAACTGTAAACAAAAGCTCCCGCCTCCGGGGCCTTCTGGTTGGTCCACTGTTTTGGAACTGACATTGATTAGCGGCGCTGCATGTAAAAGTTGAAATTCTTTTAATTTGACACATCATCTTAAAAGTGCGGTGCTTGAAATGCTGCAAAAGATGCGAGCTCAGTGGTCATACATGTCCTTCTAGCACGTTTACGTAGAAAAATAATGGAAATGCTGAAACTGTTTTTCTGCAATGTTTACATTTGACTTCATATTGTTCGGAAAATGCATCCAAACGACGGACACTGCATTTTTCTTTGGTTGCTCAGTTGACTCTGTGTCTGAGTTCTCCTTCATGTTGCTTCCATGCCGCTTACTGGATGTGGCAGAGTCATGTGACTACATACACGGTCGTATGTTTTTAAGTGGAAAGTATTAACAGGATTTAAAAAAACAAAATAACCGACATGGGAAAATTACGTCAGTTAGAGGTTGTGAATTTCGGTTTTGATTACTGTAATACATGTTCATGTATCATTTTTATTTAAATGATTTATTTTATTTTATTTTTATTCAATTAAAAATTTTATTTATTATTATAGTAAAAATAACATTTGGAGTGATTTTTTAATTAAATAATTTTAATTAAAGACAGTACAACAAATGCTACCATGATGTATAAATCATTTAAATGTTATATATTAATAACCTTTTCATGTTACACTAATGAAAATGACAGTATTTTGTGTAACGGGGTTAAACAAGCTTAACTGTTTTGAACATAATGCCACAATGCAAGTAGACTTTAAATATGTATAAATATACTAAAAACATTACGTTTTAATTATATAATTTAAATTTATTTTATATATTAACATAAAATTCTCTTATAAATAAAATGTCTATGAATTTTATTCTTAATATTTTTTATTTTATATGCATTTATTTATATATATATATCTATATATATATTAGTGGAAATGGTGTCGTGAAATGACTGCCGAGCAACGGTAAGTTTAACCGCACCTTTACAGATTTTGAATTCTTCAAATTATGTACGCATGACAGTTTACTTGCGCGACAAATACTTAATTACTGCTTTTTTAACCACGCAAAAGATGCAATCTTTGTAATCTTTTTAAAGAATTTCCTCTGAGACAACACCGTCAATTATGTCCGCAGGATGTCATGAGTTTTTAAATAAAAACCCCTAACAGTTTTGTCAGCCATCCCAGCGTAATCGCAGCAGCTCGCAGAACATTTTGTTTGTCATCACGGTGATTTGGCCCATTTGTGGCTCTCCGGGGATCTGATGTCCCGGTCTTTGATCTGTGAGTTGCCTGTAATGACTGCTTTAATGTATTGAGATCAGGCTCCCTCGATGCTTTTTAGCTTTGTTTCAAAGACACAGGGATATTAGACGCGAGTCCTCGACTGAACTCTCAGATGATTGGACGGTGAGTTCTGCGCTGTATGGCCACCTTTAATGGCATCAAATTAAATTTGCATTGAAAAACCCACCTGGGACGCCACACGGCTCTTGGTGAATTTGGTCACCCAAAAATTTTTATTCTGTCATCATTTACACCTAAACTTGATTACTCTCTTTATTCTCTTTATCGCAATTCAGACATTTTTTCTTGTAATTATAATTTTTTTTCTCAGAATTGTTAGTTTTTTTTTTTAATTCTATGGAATTGAATGAAAAAAACAATTGTGAGATTACATTAAACATTACATTCAAATTACATCTCACAACTATGAGTTTATATTTTGCAATTCTGATTTTATTTTCTCCAAATAGTCCTTCAACTTGTGACTTTATTTCTCAGAATTGCAGAAAAGGCTGAACTGTGAGATATAAACTTAAAATTGAGAGAAAAAAAAAAACCAGTCAGAATTGTGAAATAAAAAGTCATAATTACCTTTTTATCCATAAAACAGCATAGACTAAAAAATCTTAACCAAAATGAAAGATCGATTAAAAGCGAGAAATCAAAATCAACCAGCATTAGCGTCCACACAGCTGACATGTTTACGAGTTGTAGCTTAAGTTGTTTGCATGAAATAGATGCTGGCAGATTAAAAACGAGCCATCAGAGAAGTGCCAATTAAACGGTTTCACCCAAAACTGAAAATTCCTTTTCGGCTGAATATTTTCAGCTGCTTAAAATTCTATACATTACGAGTTAAGATACAGACACGTTAACACTATTTTGGCAAAATTTTGCGGTCCAAAAAAGTCCATTATCTTGAATAATAGCGACATCCACGTGGGGAAATTTTGTCCTCAAGCGAAAGTAAGGATTGCATTTACATGACAACGATTTACCAAAAAAGGAAAAGTTTTTCATTTGCGTTTTGAAAACATTTGCGTACAGACGACAACATTGTCAAAACGATCTCCATTCACACAGATCCACGAAAACGACAAAAAATGCATGTATTATTCATGCCAGGCCAGTAGATGGCGATGTCACATTGTAAAAAAACACCACGTACTTGTAGTTTTCAAAAGTTTGCGCGTTCAGGCCCCCAAAACACCATAGTCATGTAAATGAACCGCCAAAACACGTAAAAAGTTTTACGTTTTCAGTTGGAAATGGTGTCGTGAAATGACTGCCGAGCAACGGCACCTTTACAGATTTTGAATTCTTCAAATTATGTACGCATGACAGTTTACTTGCGCGACAAATACTTAATTACTGCTTTTTTAACCACGCAAAAGATGCAATCTTTGTAATCTTTTTAAAGAATTTCCTCTGAGACAACACCGTCAATTATGTCCGCAGGATGTCATGAGTTTTTAAATAAAAACCCCTAACAGTTTTGTCAGCCATCCCAGCGTAATCGCAGCAGCTCGCAGAACATTTTGTTTGTCATCACGGTGATTTGGCCCATTTGTGGCTCTCCGGGGATCTGATGTCCCGGTCTTTGATCTGTGAGTTGCCTGTAATGACTGCTTTAATGTATTGAGATCAGGCTCCCTCGACGCTTTTTAGCTCCGTTTCAAAGACACTGAGATATTAGACGTGAGTCCTCGACTGAACTCTCAGATGATTGGACGGTGAGTTCTGCGCTGTATGGCCACCTTTAGTGGCATCGAATAAAATTTGCATTGAAAAACCCACCTGGGACGCCACACAGCTCTCACCCCATCTGCTGTAATCTGTATAAGCCGGATTTTGATGTCAACGGACACTGCAATGATAAACAAGTCTTTATTAAGAAGAGGAGAAATATTGAAAACAAAGTCCTTGCAGGTTTTTATAATTGCAAGGACATTTATTCTCAATTATATGGAGGTTAAATACAAACACATGCATGTATATATTTAAGAAAAATATGTAATATTTGCATATTAAATGTATTTATATATAATATAAATTATATAAATATATACATGTAAACACATGTAAATATTTTCTAAATATGTACTGTATGAGTGTGTATTTATATATACATAATAAATATACATAGTACACACATATTATGTAAACAAATTTTTTTATTTTGGATGCGATTAATTGCGATTAATCATTTGACAGCACTAATATATATATACACACACACACACACACACACACTTATTATATAAATATTTTTATTTTATTTTTTAAAACCGATCATTCTCCAGATTCACGTTGGCCACATCACATGAGCGCTGACTGGTCTGTTGAAAGCCAAGAGCTCATCACGACATGCAATTGTCTAGGAATGTCTTTATGTGTTACTGATGACAGCACCTTGAAGGCTGCGTTTTTCCTCATTCCAGCCGACTGTGATGTTTGCCTACCGATAACCTGCTTGTGTAACTTGCCTCTTTTCCGTTGGTGATTTTTCAAGTCTGGTTGCCCTGGGGCCGTTTTCCAGAACCCAGACTCACACACACACAGACACACACACACACACAAACGTCTTATACACAAGGAAAAGATAAACATGCCAATCGGATCCGTCTGTTGCTTCATGGGTTACAATAGATCGCATTGTTTGCCCATGAGACCCCACAGACAGCTGAGACGTACGAGATAGATGCACCACCAGCTACGGACTGTGGTTAGCATCCATGCGAGAACATCGGCCCTATCAACATGTTGCCACCTGTAACACTTTCTAGCGCTCAGGTATCCTAAAATACACTCACAAAATGACAAAAAAAAATGTATTCTATCCCAGTATTTTCGTTTTCCAGTACAAATAGCTAAACATTCTTAAAGGGGTCATATGATGCTTTTTTAAAGATCATTATTTGGTGTATTTGGTGTAACAGAATATGTTGACATGCTTTAATGTTCAAAAAACACATTATTTTTCAAATACTGTACATTATTGTAGGTCCTCTATGCCCCGCCTCTCTCAAACGCTTCGTTTTCTACAAAGCCCCCTCCTTTGGCAGAGTCTTAACTTTGATAAAGAATATCTCTTTGGTTTTGAGACTTTAGTCTTTGCAACTTCAGGGATCTTATCTATGCACAATCAGCTTGTAACACTCCAAAGAGAAAGGAAAACTTGAAATCGCATCATATGACCCCTTTAAATAAAGATACATTTATTTGAGATGCAAAATGACTGAAGATTTTCTGAAAAATTTATCAAAATCAAGTGAGTTTATACTTAAAAACATTTTTTTATTAAATAAAAAAAAAACTTGATTCAAAGGGAAAACAAGTTTATTTTTCTTACACCATTGGCAGATATGTTATTGTTTTATCTCGTTAGCAGTGATTTTTTTTAATTATTTTTTTTTAATTCATTAAAGAGAGTACAACAACTTATACCATTATGTATAAATAATGTGAATGTTATATATTAATCCCTTTTTTCATGTTACAGTAATGAAAATGACTCAGAATTTGTGGGTTAAATGAGAGCAACTGTAGATCTTATCTATTAATATATGTATAAATATACTAAATACACAATTTTTAGATCAATATTTTAAATGTAATTTATATATATATATATATATATATAAACATTCTCAAATCATATACTTGAGATTTTACATAATATATATATATATATATATAAATAAAAATATAAATGTTTTAATATTAAAAATATTTTGTTTTAATTTGCATTTATTTATATACATTTGCATATATATATATATACACACATAAAATTTCACTTTCTAAATAAAATCAATTAATTTTATTTTTAAAATTTTAAAACGTTTATATACATATGCATATTTGTTTTAAGCATAAAGTCACTTAATTCAGTTTTTTTTTTTCAGAAAATGACTTTATATCTTTGTAATTTTATATCTTATTTAATTTTTATGTAAAATCTCAAGTATATGATTTGAGAATGTTTAATATTTTTGTCTTGTTTTTCAGTAAAATATGAGTATGAAAATAATTTTTTGCCGCGTGCGCCGTAAAGCATAAAAGTGCAAAGGAAAAAGTGGTCTCTTCCTTCCCAATATCCTCAGACATGCTATGCAAGTGCTCCATAAACATTCTGTCCTGCTTTAAACATTCAATTTGACCAATCCCATGAGCCTCTTCACGCTCACCCATCCGTCAGCACACCAAGATCGGCCCTTGACGTGCACAAGCGGTCTCTCACTCTACTTCAGTGTTTAAGGGTTAATGTATGGAAAGCACATGCTCTGTATCCGTCACACGTCACTGTGGCACATCTATGATAGTGTAAACATCTGAGCGTATGTGCAGGGTGCGTGTTCACGTGCACGGCTCTGTTGTGTGTTTTTAGCTTAGGTAAATCTTAGCATTGTGCAGCAAGTCTGGTCTAATTGAACACCTTCGCTCTACTCTTGCGCAAACGACAGTAATGCATCGAGGCAAACATTTGAGGGTTGCTCGAGCAACTTATTCAAACACGAACACACCGCGGCGTGTACACAGGGGAACTGGATATGGAGCAGAACACTCGCAGGCTTGGTGTAAAACAAATACGAGCAGGATGTCACTATGTGCCCAAGTATCGAGTAACGCCGCTTCAGCTTTAATGCTCAGATGCTCGTGCCAGAACGAGAAGAATTTCAGAACGCTTGAGCCAGAATTCCTTTAGTTACAGGAATGTTTGTGTGTTCGTACATGAACCTCACAACACATAATACTTCACATAACATAAGATCAAATATTTATTTTATACATTTAAATTTAAGGCTTGACTGCTGCTCCTGCTCGACCAGGCTGTGAAACGCCTTTTCTGCACTTGCTTATATGCTCAACTAGACACTCACTCGCCTTTATACAAACACAACCACAGCTGGAGGCAGAGAGGGGCAGTTTTAACCAGCTTTCACTATTAACAGCTCCAGTGCACACTGGGCCTTTTCAGTGCTCCAGAAGGTTCAAGCATCGCTAGTCAGTCTTGTTTCTGGAAGTCTATATGAATCCCACTTTGTATGCAATCTGTTCCTAAAAGTACACTGTAAAAATGGTATGATCAATAAGCCATGACAACATATGTTTTTACATTACTTTAACTCATCAAAGTAAGTTAAGGAATTTTCAACTTTTAAAAAAAAAGTTATACAAGATTCAACTCTTTTTTTAAGTCCGTTTAATGTAATTTAAGTTGAAATTACTTAGACAGCTAAGTTGACTGTACTTAAAAATTTAAGGCAGCAACTTTTTTTTTTTTTACAGTTTAGATGTATAAGATGAGTTTTGGTGCATTCCAAATCACAGCATGTTGAAGACTGTGTGCTAGTATATACGCATGCACGCTTTTCAGCTTATATTACCCACAACCCCTTTCTGTTGAGGTTCAGATTTTCCTTTTAACATTTACATTTAGCAGACACTTTGATCCGAAGTGACATTTTAGTTTTGCAATGCATTTTATCCATTCATGCATTCCCTAGGAATCAAACCCATGATCTAGGAGTTGCAAGCACTCCCAATTTAGTAATACTCAGTTTCTATAACATTTGCATAACAAAGAAAGCGTTTTTAAAACATTTAAAAAACTGGACGTTTTAAACGTTCAGAAATAATGTTTTCATAACTTAATGGTGCTCTCATGTTATGAAGAAACATTCTTTCCAATACCGTTAATAGAACGGTTCATTAAATGTTATCTGCTCTTTAATAACCTTATCAAAACATTAGCACAAAAACGTTGTATATACATTGTTCATGGAATGTTTGTTAAAAACGTTTAGACTGACGCTTGCCTAACATTTTTAAATGTTACTACTTATTTAGAGCATTATTTAGATTAAGTTTGATGTTTGCCTAAAGTTTTTAAACATTACTAACTACTTGTTTCAGAGTAACCATAATGCTTGCTTGTTTTGAAAGTAATCGTAATGTTTGCAAAAAGATAATGTTTTCTCTAACGTTCGCATAAACAAGAAGAAAACATTTAAAAAACTGGATGTCAGAAATAACGTTTTCGTAACTTAATGGGAACATTAGGAAAATGTTATTTG